GTGCACAGGAGGGGGTGTATGGATGGGAGGGGGTGTGTGCACGGGAGTGGGTTGTGTGCACAGAAGAGGGTGTGTGCATGGGAAAGTGTGTGTGCACAGGTGTGTGCGTGGGAGGGGGTGTGTGCACAAGATGGGGGTGCGTGCACGGGAGGAGGTGTGTGCAAGGGAAGGGCGTGTGTGCATAGGAGGGGGTGTATGCCCAAGGGGGTGTGTGTGCACAGAAGGGGGTGTGTGCACAGAAGGGAGTATACACAGAAGGGGGTGTGTGCACGGGAGGGGGTGTGTGCACGGGAAGGGGTGTGTGCATAGTGGTGGGGGGTGGAGAGAGGACAGCCACAATAGGGGACTGGCACAGGAGCAGTCTGAGCACACGAAGGGACATGTGCAAGGGAGGATGTGTTTGGGGGCACTACAAAGGCTGGGGGAACAGAGGTGCAGGCCCAGGAGAGGTCATGGACAGGGAGAGGTCACACGCAGCCTCGGTGGCTTTGAGGGCCCCTGTGCTCATCCCTTCAAAGGGCTCTGCCCAATGTGACAAATGGTTCCTTGGCCAAGTTGGTTTGGGAGCTGCCGGAGGCCTCCCCCTTTTCAATGCTCTTGATGCTTGTTGATGTGGCAAATCAACAACCTTGACTTTCTAGTCCCCATCCGTCCCAGCTGTGGAGCCCAGGCACTCCACATTCAGCTACCTGGGTAGCGCTGGGTGTACACAAGGTACAGGGGTCCAGGCGCCCCTCATTCAGCGCCTTCCATGTCACGCCACCTTCTGTCTCAGAGCCATTTCCTGGCCTTGCTTCTCCCACCCCAAACCACAGACTGAGGGGTGATTTCCTCAGTTCACACGTGGGCCCTGAGACAGTGACTACCCAGTGCCTCACATACAGTAGGTGCTCAATGGATGCCTGCTGAGCCAACGATGGCGGCGGCGGCGGCAGCAGCAGGCCCTTGTCTTCGGTGCTGGGTTTGAATGGCACCAGCCAAATTCCACACAGAACCTCAGAGTGTGACCTGACTCAGAAACAGGGTCCGGTGCAATCAGTTCAGATGAGGTGTGATGGGACTGGAGTGGGCCTAGTCCAGTGGCTGGTGTCCTTATGAGGGAGGGAAATGGCCACGTGGAGATGTAGGCAGGGACAGGAATGACGTGACCACAAGTCACCTGGGGCCCCCTGGAGCCGGAAGAGGCCAGAAGCCCCCCTACAGCCACCAGGGGGAGTGCAGCCCTGCCGCTGCCCTGACCTTGGAGACTGATGCCCCCCAGAACCGGGGAGGATCTGCTCAGAGCATTTGAAGCTGCCAGGAGTGTGGTCATTTGGTACGGCGGCCATAGGAAACTCACATGGCTCCAAAGATGTTCCTGGAGAGGGGCCCAGGAGGTCTCAAAGGGACAGTGCGTGGGGGAGGCCTGGCGCTCTGCAGCCATCTCATCTGCAAGGTTGGCCTACACACAGGACCAGAGGACAGTCCCCAGCTCCAGAGGGAGGCACCCACAGCTCAGGTGGCTGAAAGGAAACCAAATGCAGCTCCCACTGTGCTAATGAACGGTGCACAGAAGCCAGGGACCAGGGGTGGCCACAGCTGCCCTCGGGTAGACTCATGAGCACGGGAAGCTCTGCACACCAGCAAGTCACAAAGGAGGCCCCAGAACACAACAGGTGACTCAGAGGGAGGTGGGGTGAAGGGATGGGGACAAGCAACACAGAGAGACGGGCAGAAAGGGAGGACACTCACTCCAGCAGCCGCTGGTGGTCCAGCTCGTGGGAAGGCGGCATCCGGCAGCAGCTGAACGTGACAACACGTCTTCCAAAGCGGTCGTCCCCTGGAGGAGCAGACACAGGTGAGCCTCTGTGCCACCTTCTAGAAAACCCTGCTTTTGCACTTAGCAAAAAGCAGCCTCCTGGGCCAGCCCAGCCCGAGATGGGAGGCACAGGCAGCAGCTGAGTGAGCATCCACCACCCGTGGCTTTATGCATGTGGCCCAGGTTCATCTTCCTGACCAGCCACACCCTGGAAATGATCCCCCCACTCTACAGAGAGAAAACTGAGGCCCGGCAGGGTTAAGTCATCAGTGCAAAGTCAGCTGGCAGGCAGCACCAAGGGCTTAAATCGAGACACAGCTGACCTCAAAGCCAGGGTGTGGCCACTCTGCCACCTCCTCCAACCCCCTACCCAGGACTCTGGGCCATGGTGGAGGCCAGCGTGGCCTGGGGGGCAGTGGCTCCTGGGCATGACTGCATGTTGGGGTACAGGAGCCCTCTCAGGAACGCAGCTGCTCAGTCCTGCCCTCCCTCATGACCCCGGTCACCCTGTACTGTGATGGTCTCTTGACACATCTGTGCCCACCCCACATAGACAGCTGCGGGGAGGGGTCCCCCTTGAGAGCTGGGACTGGGTCTGCTCATCTCTGTCCCCAGAACCCAGGCTGCAGACCACCCTCCCTTCCTGCAGACACTGCTGCCCCTACTCTCCCAGCCCCCCACCCCGCCCTGCCCCACCCACGAGTGGCCAGAAGAGAAGGCTGGAGACCCCATGGTTCAGACCTTCCTCCTGTCTCTGCCCAGGGCCCTGAGACAGAGGGGCCCCTGCACACACGACACCCTTTTGAAGGCTCCAGCAGCGACTCAGGCGCAGTCTGATGTCACCGCCCGTGCCCTGGCTCCTTCCACTCTGGATTCCCAGCAGTTTCTCATTCCACAGCCACAGCTCGGAGACAGAGAACAGAAGGGCCGCCCCGCTTCCCAGCACCCACAGCTTCCTCATTACAATTAAACACACCAAGACACAGGTAAGAACAGCCTGCACGCGACACCCGCCAAGGGTAAAAATGGGGCACAGTGCAGAGGGGGCCCAGCTCCACATCGGGTTGTCATGAGGAGCGGGGAACACGGAGATCTCCCCACTGCTGGTCCACGAGGCCCCCCAGGTCCCCCCTACCTCCTCCCTGTCCCCGGGGACCTGGCGCAGCCTCTTTCCTACAATTCTTCAAGAGCACCCTCCTGCCTGGGCTTCCACCTGGAATGTTCCCTGGCCTCCTTCTGGACTCTACACCCCTTCCAGCTAAACCCTACCTCTGCAGGAAAGCTGTGCCCCCACCTCATCCACAGTGCCCCCAGGCCGGTCTGTGGACAGCTGGCTGCATATGCAAGCAGCTCCTCTGGCTGTGGGCTCATTCCAAGGACACACTCTGAGAAGAGTTGTAAAGACTTTTTTTTCTTGAGAGCGTCTTGCGATGTCACCAAGCTGGAATGCAGTGGCATCATCACAGCTCACTGCAGCCTTGACCTTCAGGCTCAAGTCATCCTCCCACCTCAGGCTCTCCAGTCGCTGGGATTCGAGGCTCATGCCACCACACCATGAACTTCAACCCCCATGGTGCAGGCCCAAGAGGGGTCATGGACAGGGAGAGGCCACAGGCAGCCTTGATGGCGTTGAGGACTCCTGGGCTCATGCCTTCAAAGGGCTCTGCTCAGTGCAGGAAAGGCTCCTCGGCCCAGGTTCCACGGCCGGCGCAGGGGCTGGGCGCTGTGCAAAGCGACCGAGGTCCAGGCTTCTGTGAGGGTGCTCATCTCCCAGGGGACTCTGGGGTGCCCAGGTTGGGGGCTGGAGGTGGGAAGCCCAGAGCAGGGTGCAGACCCTCCTCCCAGCATGTACTGGCCCCTCTTCCTTTCCTCACACAGGAGGGGGAAGACCATGCCTGCGCCTTCCAGGACGAGAGCATTCCCACTTTAAAAAGTCCAGCCCCTCAGTGGCACTAGCCACATTCCAGGTGTCCATCAGTCATGCACGGTGAGGGGCTGCCCTGGACAAGGCAGGGATGGAGTGTATCCAGTCCACAGAACGTTCCACTGGGCAGCTCTGACCTTGAGGGGGCAGGTTAGGGCATGGACCTCAGGAAAGGGGCCACAGGGCTGCTGAGTCTGCCTCTAACCCTGTGTAGTGCGGGAAGAGTGCCCCAGCCCCGCTAAAAGAAAAGGGAAGTCCCCCTGGACCCTGCAAATGTGACACTGGAAACAGGGTTGCTAAAGATCCAGAGAAGATTATCCTGGATTTAGGATCCGCTTCAAATCCAATGGCTGGCGGGACACGGTGGCTCACACCTGCAATCCCAGCCCTTTGGGAGGCCAAGGTGGGAGGATCACTTGAGCCCAGTAGCTCAAAATCAGCCTGCGCAACATAATATCTTCTTCGTCCCTAAAAAAATTTTTTTTAAATTAGCCAGGTGTGGTGGCAGGTAGCTCTAGTCCTAGCTACTCAGGAGGCCAAGGTGGGAGGATTGCTTGAGGCTGCGGGGGCAAGACTGCAGTGAGCTGTGATCGCGCCACTGCACGCCAGCCTGGGTGACATCACAAGACCCTGTCTTGGGAAAAACAAACAAAAAGTCTTTACAGCTGTTCTCAGAGTGCGTCCTTGGAATGAGAAGGGAGGGCGGTACAGCGTTCTCAGCCCCCAGCTCTGAAAGGTCATGAATCAAGATTCCACACTTGGGCCGGGCGCGGTGGCTCAAGCCTGTAATCCCAGCACTTTGGGAGGCCGAGGCGGGTGGATCAAGAGGTCAAGAGATCGAGACCATCCTGGTCAACATGGTGAAACCCCGTCTCTACTAAAACTACAAAAAATTAGCTGGGCATGGTGGTGCGTGCCTGTAATCCCAGCTACTCAGGAGGCTGAGGCAGGAGAATTGCCTGAGCCCAGGAGGTGGAGGTTGTGGTGAGCCGAGATCGCGCCATTGCACTCCAGCCTGGGTAACAAGAGCGAAACTCCGTCTCAAAAAGGAAAAAAAAAACAAGAAGAAAAAAAAAAAAAAAAGATTCCACACTTGGCCCGTGCCTGTAAGCCCAGTACTTTGGGAGGCTGAGGTGGAGGGCTCACTCGAGCTCAGGAATTCGAGGCTACAGTGAGCTAGGATCACGCCACTACACCACCCTGGGCAACAGACACTGACCCTGTCTCCCGGAACAAAAAATTACAATTCTGCATGCACACATATACCCACACGCACACTGGCGTGAGTACACACACACACACACACACACGCAGTGTGTAAACTCTGATGTCCATGAGTATACACACACACATACATACACACACACGCAGTGTGTGAACTCTGATGTCCATGAGTACACACAC